GCGCCATATTATAACCACCATTAAAAAGTCAAGACCAGTGAGCCGTAAAACTAAATTCACGGCGCCCAGTTCGGGACATATTCCTGCTAACTGCAAGGTTATTCGTCTCGAAGCCCCTTTGGAATCTGGCTCTGCTTACTCGTTTGTGCTGCCTTTTATTCTCTCAAATGTGATGTCTCTCTCACCAAAGATTGACGAAGTTCGAGTGACATTTGCAATGCAAATCTGGACTTCATTTACATCACGGAAACATGGCTCAAAAACCACATTGATGACAATTTCGTGTTACAATATCATCCGCGGAGACAGGGTAACTAGTGATCATGGAGGCATTTGCATGTACGTCCGCGATTCTATCCGATTTGATGTTCTATCCGACCTTATGGACGAGAATTTTGGAGTTTTATTGGTCAAAATCCGCCCCAAACGGCTCCCTAGGGGCATACCATCTATTGTTGTTGGAACTATTTACCATCCGCAGAGTGCAACCGACTCCTTGATTTCATGAGGGGACGCAAATCGTCTGCACTGGAAGTACACATCAAACTCCACAGGCGTTCTAATCCCATTAAATATGTGGTTTTTATGTCAGCGTTTGCATGGTTAATATCGTTAGCGCCCCTTTCGGTTGGATCTGGACAGTGTCTGTTTTTGGATCTGGACAATGTTCTTTTTTTTTTTTCCCAGATTGCTTTGTAGTGCATGTAGTTTTCTTAGTTATTTTCGCCAAAAATGGCGCCGAGGGAAGGTTTTTCGACTTTCTCTCGCGTCGTCAGTGATGCATTAAGCGAGCATAATTACTGGTATGTGCTCACAACAGAATTTTGTGGAATTACCCCTCTGCAATATTTTAAGCGATCGCCGATCGGGACAACTTTTCCAGAAGATTTCTGCCGAATTGAAAGCGACAAACTTCGGCTTCTCGATGGGCGCCCCTTCGTCAACAAGAAAAATTCCAGCGCATTTGAAGTTTTTTGCTCGTCTTTTGGACTTGTATCGGTTATTCTGAGGAAAAAAAGAGGTTCTGAAGACGGAGGATCCGCCGCGATTTATAAAGTTAAAGAATTTTTGAATGGCTTGGATTTGAGTTCCCTCAAGGGAGACGGCAACGACTTGAATTGCGAGCGACCACGTGCAGCTCGGCGCCTTACAATGACCCCTCAATTCAACACTCCGCCTAGCTAGTACGAAAGAAATGCCTGTCTCGGTTCATTTGACTCCTCCAAACAGTGGCAGTCTTAGTTCTCCTAATCTAAAGGAGATTTATGAAAGGAATGATTTGGAGACCCCAGAAAATACTTTTCTTATTAAGAAAAGTGGTAGCAGCCGCGTTCTCCAAGATGCACAAGGTATCTTTGAAAGGAGCCGAGAAAATTTATCAACGGTGCTTTCCAGCATGTGTGCTTTTGGCGATCCTGAGGCCAAGGCTATTGTAAATGAGGTTGTGGAAGATGTGGCCCTAAAGAAAGGAGTTAAACGGACGGTGGAAGAGNTATTATTCATGAAACTAACTAGCTGTCACGCTATCATTCCGCGATCGGCCGATGTCACGCAATTTTCGATAACCAGCACGCCAAGACATATTTTGGTTAACGGGCACACCAGGACACATTTTCGTTAACCGGTACACCAGGACACAACCCAAGAGTGTTTCTTCAAGAACCCAGATAGATTCAAAGAAAGATGATCATGGAAAGCGCCGTACAGCTGGTCAAAGATAACCTTCTCGAACTCTTTAGAAATGGCGGTAAGATTCGAAACAGGACGATCATTTCCTTTGAGTGTAAGCCCTTCTTTTTTAAATACCGGTGTCAAGTTCCCTCTCTTCCATTCGGTTGGCCATGATTGGTTCATACTCAGATAGTTCATCAGCTGTGTTATCACCTCCGCTAGGATGGGAGCAGCGAGCCTTAAGAGACGCGGTGAAGTTCCATCTACGCCAACAGTCTTCCGGGGATTTAGATTGTCTGAGACTTCGATTCACGTACATAGCTGCAACTCGCAGGCTGCAAGACAAACTGATCTAGCAGCATTTTGCTAGCGATTAGTTTTACACTTGGATGATCGTTGAAATAATTTTCACGGTGATTTGTTGGAACTACATTGGCGAAATAGCTATTAAATATTTCCGGTATCAAAACGTTCCGAAAACAAAGGGAAAACTTGCAAGATGGACCATGACCTTGATGGAAATTATCTGTAGAGAAGTATGACAAAAAGCGTCTTCGTATCTACCCCCTAGACCACGCAAAATTGTTCCCCTTACGTTTTTCGCTTAAAAAAAATAATGAGACTACTCGTCTTGTCCTTTTTCGCTTAAAATAATCAAACTACTCGTCTTGCCCCGGCCGAACCAAGACACATGGTCTTAAAATAACTGAGGAGAATGTGCTACCTTTCTATAATATCAAGAAATGGATAGACATTCTAGTGTTCTCAGACAAGGACGAATAAATGGTAGGTCCCGTATCTATTAATTATATAATTTGATTAGGCAGGGGACGTTAAAAAATCTACGTCACGAGATTACTGTGGTGAGGTCTGGCCTGTTTACTGGAAATTGGGGGGAGGGGATATCTGCTAAAAATTCGCCTTTGTTGATTGTAAACTGCCACTGGCAGTCTGGAAAGTCCCCCGCACAGTGTTGTAAAGCGTCTTGAACAAAGGGTAAGAGCGCTATAGAAATAAAAGTTATTATTATTATTATTATTATTATTATTATTATTATTGTCATGCCTTCCGTATTCTTATTTCCATTTCATTGTCATCCTCATTCAAATAAATGAGATTCAAACTGAGAACGTTTGCGATCATTTTGTCCCTTGTTTTTTCTATGTGGATGACCGGTTGTTTGTCCATTTGAAGTTTTTTTTTAAGTATTTTGGCTTTGAAAATCTCGATTTTCAGTGTTTACATTTCTGAATCTTCAGAATAGATGGCGTTGTTTCCACTGTCTGTCGGTTTCTGATCTTGCACATATCCAATTCTAGAGGGAATTGACGTCGGAGTTCTGACATGTGCCAGCGACATGTTACTGCTAGGCGCTGTTGTAGCTTTATCACGGATCAGGCTCAGAGCGTCTCCTTCAGGAAACGTTGTCGCGGTTAGATGGAGTGCTAAAATCGTTCTGTTGAGAATATCTGCTAAAAGTTTAGGATGTGACAGTTAAGCAATGCTCTCCCCTTATCACCAACAGGTTGTTGCCAGTTTTCTTTAATCTCATCAACGCATTCATCTTTGATTCATAAAAGGAAAATATGTTTTGTTGCCGAGGTACAATGCAGACGGTGTGTTGTTGAAATTTTCATAGAAGTGAAATGTAAAACGGTTGATGCCGCGTAATGGACTCGATGACGCCACGGTGTACTCTGAGAAAGTGAAATTTATGAGGAGGTGACAAGAGTAACAAGATTAACATTATTTTCCAATAAAATGGAAACAACTTTGAAGAAGCTTAAACGAGTTGATAACATACTTAGCGAAATAATGTTTTGATATTCTTTCACAAAAACAATCAGTGACTTGTAACACTTATCGTATGGCCAGTTGTGGTCCTTTGTTCTTAATCTCTTTGATTTCTCGGAAAAAGACTCGTTTCCTAAAGGTTCCGCGCGTCAAGTTTATACCGCATTGGCATACTCACTCAGCCGGGGGTTAGCAATTTCCTGTTCCGTTATGATTGCTTTAACAATGGCGTTGTTTGCAACAAATAAATGCTCAGGTAGTGTATTCCCTGACGATTTTGCAACGTTGACATTATTCTATTTTCAGTTTGAGAAGAAAATGCAGAGGAAATAGCTAATACAGGGTTATAGTTACTGAACAAAATAAATGCGTTTTTAATCTTGCGAAGTCTCAACCAGTGAAGCGTGTCATACGCATAATCGCGTGGGGCTGGGCACGTTTTTCTTTCAAACTTCGTACAAGGAACCTTGTTCAATTCCCTTTGAATTATGTCAAATATCAGTGATAGCTTAGTCAATTATGTTTCAAAACATCGTCAAAATTATATATTCGCAAAAATCCGAAAAACGTGAAATCTCTGCAATCTCTCCTAGCTATGTAAAATTTTGGCTGAATTAAAGAAATGATGTTCTTCACAAACTCCACACCTTGATAAAAGTATCTAACGAGAGTATCAAAGAAATTAACGCTAATCAAAATGATTACTTTGACGTGTTGTCGCCTTCTATGTACTACTAGATAATCTGCAATTCAAGACGACAGCACAGATTCATGACGGATGCACTCGTGGAGAGAGTTAAGCGAGATGTTGTCTTCAGGAGACAAGAACTTGAGGGAACCTAACTTTGTTAACAAAATAGGCATAATCCATTAGAAGACTAAGTTTTCAAGGGTTGTGGGTCCCTCCTTCATGCAACAGTAAAAAGCTTGACAGCCGTCCGCTTTAATGCATATTGTTTTGAATCTTCACAGCAGTGGGCTCAACTGAGCAGGCTTGATATTGATAGCACGTTACTGATTCAATTCGTTTGATTATGCTTTGTTTTGTTTGATTTTTATTTTCTACTGAAGGCTCTAAACAATGGTTGTGACACTCACATCATTTTCAGGGATTGCAGCAGTTTTTTTGTTGGTCTGTTAGGTTTTTCTTGCCCAAGTGGAACCAAAGTCCCATTGCGTGCACTATTCAGAAAACATTTTTGTGATTCATACATGTGGAAGCTTCAAATACTGATTTGGATTTTCAATTCTTGAAAATTTATCAATACTTTTTGATAAAGCTAGAACTTTCCTCGAAAGTGATCAGAGGAACTTATGGGAAACCAGAAATGATTCGCGTTGAAATCCTACTGAATGCTGAGAGCATGGCTGAGTCAACAGCCCTTTCGAAAATATGGCTACCCGTGCATTGTCCAATTTCCCACGGTAAGACAACGAAGCACACTTCAGTAGGTAAGAACAATGGCTGTTCGTCATCAATTACTTGAAAATCAACTTAGAAATTCAATAAGTAATTGGTTTTCACTTGCACGCCAACTATTTTGATTGCGAAAGCAACCATACACAGCCTCATTACATTACTCGAAATTTTCCAAATTAGGGCGATTAATAGATCGTGAGGCGATTTCTGTTTAGACTTGGTACAACTTAGTGAGATAATCAACCAAAGTTTCGAATGCAAAATGATATCCTGGATTTTGGCTCTCCTCTTCCTCACTTGTATATCAAAGAGCATGGCACAGGGCGGAAGTAAAGGTACTCGAGCCAAATAGCAAGTGAATGCCAAGCGCACGCATCTACAACTGATCTAAATTGATATACGTCTGGGCCTAAATTCCTAATTATATATTTCTCGAAAATAATTTCAGAACCTGGCGTGACTGTTACCTGCGGTGCTCATCAGATGGAGATCACATTTGAGAAGAGAATATTCCCCGCACTAGACGCGGGGAATATGTCCTTGGATGCCCCTGCGTGTTCAGCCTCTGACAGCCTACAGTTCATTTCCATTAGCACGGCCCTAAATGGATGCGGAACAAAACTCCAGGAAACTGAAGACACTATTGTGTTCTCCAATGTTGTTCATCAAGATGCCGAGTTAGTGGACGGCCAGATTACTCGTGAACATGACTTTGAATTCCCGTTTAATTGCAGCTATTCCAAAACGAAGTTTCTCAGCCTAAACTTTGTCCCCGAGGGAAGGGTTGATGTACGCGGTGTAGGTATGTAAATGTATCGCCAATCAACAGTTCATCCGTAATTCTGCTGAATGCTGTCAGTGGCTTAAATCAACACTTGTAGTATTTCACGGTCGAATCCTGATGATCAATTTGACTGCGCTAGTAATCATTAAGCATCCTAGGTAGGTAGCAGACTTTACCTTGATCGCTTTTTACATGCTGGAGCTTTGTTGCCCGTGGTAAAAAGGCGAGAATGCAGTAATTGCATATGACTTGACAAACAGATACTGTCACAAAAGTATTATCTGTTGCAAAAAAAGGTAACTTCGAGTAATCTAATGCAAATATTACTCTGTTTGATGATAAACTGTTATTCCAGGGGAATTTGGTGACTTCAACTTCACATTTGATGTCTTCGCAAGCTCTTCTTACTTAACGCCCTACTCCGCTTTCCCTGTCGAGGTGACGCTCAATGAGTATATCTACCTAGAGTACAAGGTGGCGTCCAGTGCTGACCTGGGGGTGATGGCTCTCAGCTGTTTGGCTACAAAAACTCCAGATTATTATTCGTGGCCGCAATATCACATTATAAAAGATGGGTACGTGTGATGTTAATTAAGGTGTTAATAACTTACCAGTTTTTATTTTGAAAAATTTAGTCTTACCAGTTCTTTGAACGTCATCCTTGTTCCTTCCTCAGTGGACCTCAATTTCTTCTTTCGGTAGTTTCATATAAAATTATTAACTTATCATGATATGACCAAAACAGGATAATTTCGTCATTTGGTTAACACATTTTTGTTTTTCGCATCAAAAGGTGTGCAATGGACACGACTCTAAGTCACGACTACGACCCAAGCAGAAATAGGCAAACATTTAGACTGAGAGCATTCAGGTTCTTTAATGAATATGACTCATTTTATATCCACTGCGAGCTGTTAGCCTGTCTTAAAGGGTCTAACTCTTCCAGGTGAGTTCATTTGCGGTAGTTTGCGATCGATTATGCACAGGAAAATTACGTATTTCAAAGCCAAGGTCCACCAGACTAAACTTTTCATGTTTTGGAACAGAAGGACAATCTGTTTTTTAAAACAATTGAAAGTTTGATGAAATATGCTAGCTCATAGCACCAGTACTAACTTTCAGTGATAACATTGCAATAGACTAAATCACTCGTAACTTGCATTTGATGACTTGAAGGTGCCAACAGGGATGCGTACCGCCAGCTACTAGGAAGAAACGTGAACTGGTAGAGGACGCAACCAGTCCGTACATCATCAAAAGAGGGCCAATCAAAATTGTCCAAGAGAAAAGCCAAAACGAAGAAGGAGGTAGATCATTATCATGCGCAAAGTTTAATACAACTAAAACAACTAGAGTGTGTATTATGACGAGAGTAAAGGGAAACGTTTTCCACGTTACTGAAGTAAAAGGCAGTCCTAATTCAAAGAATGACACTTAGCGAGTTACTTAAAAATTCGATGAGAATGAAATTTTAACAACATTATTTCCCGGAGGTAGCCGTAAAGTAAATCATACATAACAGTGGTTTTAAAATACTAATACGATGGCAGGGTTCTAAAAAGATGAGAAAAGACTGTATAATAGAACCTACGAATACGCATCACCATCAGTGGTTAGCAATAAAAAATGTAGAAAGTCATCGATCATTGTCACAGCCTGTGGACGTGAGATCTTAAACGTGTACAAATCAAGTTCGTATAAAACCATCATTTTTCTTGTGTGTGTGCTTTTACAGACAAAGGAAATCAGTCAGCAGCTGTAATAGGAGGTGCAACTGCCGCTGGTGGAGTTGGTCTGGTTGCAGTCATAGGTTTAGCTGTTGTTTTCGTCAAATATCGCATTCTACGGCTCATGAAGAACAAGAACAAGGTCAGAGACATGTACACCGGCACCACCCAGGATCAGCAAATGAATAGTGGAAATGCCCACATCCAAGACGGTGAAACGGTGGAAGCGAATGCTGAGAGTGAAAACGCTTAGCTTAAAAGGTGGACACTTAAGTTAAAAGCCCATAAAATATTTCTGACCGTAAATCATTTCCAAGTTTGACTTGTGACAACACTAACAATAATTAAGGTTAAGTATGCAGGTTCGTTCTTTTTGTCGGCTTTACCTAAGTAAGTAATGAAATGGCTGTCATCGAATTATATTGACGTTGTTTCCCAAGGGCATTTGTAAACGTTCAGCATTTATTCGAGACCAGATTGTTTTAGCAACCAACTTTTATCTATTATGTTGAACAACCCTTACGATACCTTAACTCTGATATATCATGCACGATTGAAGATTAAAGGAAACACAAAGTTTTTCTTGTACGAAACCAGCATTCAATTGAGAGAAAGCCCAAGGAAAAAAAATTTGGAAAAGGTAAAAAAAAAAAGGAAAAAAAAAAACAGTTCAATGAGTCATTAGCTATTTGTAAAGTAATTACAGAATTATTATCAATAACATGAAATCACTTAGTTGGAAAAGAATTCGAAGCTGGTTTCTGTCGACTTCCCTGAGTCTGCACATGGCTTGAAATAAGTTCAGATAGCATGGAAGAATGTTGTCGATATTTCTGACGACGCTTTCGACGCAATGGAAGTCAACTCCATTCCCGCTGGTTTCGTGATAAAATCTTGTTTATCGCAGTCAGGACAATTAGAATGTCATTAGATAGGTAAAAAGTCAAAGTTAAAACGCGGTTGGGCGATTCTAAAAAT